TAGTGTTAAGCCCAATAGGCCATATTGAATCTTGGCCGATCTGATGGGCACGATTGTATTTCACATTTGAATTTTAATCTTTTTTTGCAAATCAAAATCATATGAAACTTGGAGCATCCATTCTTTCATTGAAGCACCCCTAATAAACTATTAAAAAAATAATTTGAAAAAATATGTTTAAGCAAAATACCCCTATTAGTTTTAGGGGTACTTTAGATAATTTATTTTTATAAATTATTTTTAAATCCTATTATACATACAGTTTTAAAAAGTCAAATTTCCCCCTTAAGAATTTCGTTAATCTGTTATCTAAATGTATTTTCTAATAAAAATAGAGTTTGTTGCAAGTGTTTGTACTTTAACTTATTCAAAGGAAATAAAAATGTAGAGAGGCTTTTTCACATTGAGCAGATTTAGTAAAAATGTTAAGACACTGAGCAGATTAAATTTACTAATTAAAGTACAAATTCCTACCAAAATATGAATACTGATTGACAAAATAAATATTTCTCACAAGAATTTGGAAATAGTTGGAATGGATAAACTGAATGAGAAATCAAATAAAAATAAATAAATAACTATTGAAGTAATGTAGAATAGTTAAAAAACTAAATAAACACATACTATTAGTTTCTATTTGAATTAAATATCGAAAAACAATTTTTATATGAGCTCTCAGAGGGAGCATCATAAACAATCCATATCCAACCGAGAGCTCAAATAAAAAATATTTGACTGGGAACACTTCTTGAATGACCGTAAAGGTCGCTTAACTTGGAATACTCCTTGGATGGCACTCTACAAAATGCGCCCTAAGGTCCATATTGTACTTTTGGTGCATATATATTATATACAAAGACAGAGCGTTTGTTTCAGCAATCCAAAGAAAAGTAGATATGGAACCTTAAATATAGAGTAGGATTTGTTTTTTGATCGATTTTTTTTTTTTTTTTTTCCCTTTTAGATCTCGTATTTGCATTATTATTTGAACTACAAAATCATGGATCTAAAGAAAGTATGTCTAAAGTGTTATTTTGTTGGACCTTAAGATGTGTTTCAGATCCTAGATCCATCTCTACGCTGAACTTTTGGAAAGACCAGATTTGAAGAAGAATAAATCAACCTTGAGCAAAAGCGGTAACAGTCGGGTTTTTATAATATTACGTCTCAAGTTTCATTCCTACGTAACAGTATAAAAAAAAATAAAAAATAAATAAATCATCTAAGATTTCTCCTACAGATAAAGTATTAGTGAAAAACCTTCATGAAAACAGCATCTGCAGTAGGGATGGAGGAAAACATGTCGCCACCGACGTGAAGCACACCGGGGTAGTTCGGTGCGGTGGAGACGACATCCGGGAGGTCAAAATTGATGCCAGAGATATGAGGGTTTGCTTTCACGATCTCGTTCAACGCTGTTCCGGTGCCGCCACCCACATCCACCAATGAAGTCAGTCCCGAAAACACAGACTTATGCTCAGACAGCAATGCCTCTAAAACCACCCGAGCTCCACTCGCCATGGCATCGTTAAACAAGTGAACAAATCCAAGATTATCAGAGTTATGATCGAAAAAATCCCTATGATGGGCCTTTTCAAATGGCTTACCCCCTTCTGACATGCACTTGCTCACGTAGTGCCATGGCGCAAGGATTGTGGGGTGGCCCAACAACAGCGACATAGGTGCCAGGCCCGATTCCCCGGGCCTAACTAACCAGTTGGATAGACGAGTGAGACCATAGTAGGCCTCACCCTGCTTCAACTCAACACTGAACACGCGCTTCTTCACGAGGAATCGCATGAGGCGTGAGGTATCAGAGGAAGGAGCCTGTAGCGAGGAGACAATCTCAGAGAGGCTTACGAGCCCACCTTTTTCTTGGATTATGCGAGCGATGCCGAGCTCGACTTCACACTTGAGTGCGAGAGAGTCGACGAAAGCCAATGCGAGCTGCCAGAACTCAGCCTGACCCTCTGCATCCTCATCCTGCAACTCCATCCTGGCATTTCTGAGCCTTCTTTCTAATTGAATTTATAGGGATTAAAACGTGGGCAATGTTGGAATTCTATTTCTGGTGAACAAATGCTCAGATCAAGTCCTCCAAATTAGCAATAGAATATTTTTGTTGTTGGATTGGGAATATTGTTAATTTTGTTTTCTTTGCTCTTGGCATGGAAATTACTCACTTCTTCTTCTTTACTGCCTTTGAGAGCCTTGGGGATCTTCAATTTTCCTCATATGTGACCGGTCCTAGGGGTGAAAGTTTATACAGGGCCTAGGCTCTAAACAATCAAATTAAAGCTTAGTTCAAAAATTTCACAGATATCAAGATGTAAGGATTTGAGAAAAAATGGATTTCAAGTTTTGAAAATGGTGCATATTGTAACGCATTTTTTGGACTGTCTTTTTTTTAGTTATTCAAGTTTTTATAGATCTTCTCATTCTATAATATTTTTGAAGCCTTAAATTTTACAATTGAAAATGAAAATATATTTTAAGGTTAGTCCAAAATTTCCAGTATTGAAACCACATTTCTCAATACTATTTGAAGGTGTGCTCTAATTTGATTGTTTAGAGCCTAAGAGATCCTTCTTTAACTATGGCCAAAACATTTCGTGCTTCTGCAGGAGCATCTCATCCATTTATTCTCCCCAAATAAAATCTAATATAAGAATTGTTTTGCGATCTCTAATTTGGAGACCTAACATCAACAATCGATTGTCTAACGTCAAAAAAGAAAATTCAAATCTCACTCTCTATGCACTTGGAAAAAAAACAATGCCTAAAGATTGAACCAAGACCGTCCAATATTTTGGCGGCGACATCTATGTGTTAGAAAACCTAAAAATCAGAGTTTCTCTTAGGAAAATAATCATCTAGTAGTTCATAGGAAATTTAAGCAGGTTTTTTGCCCTAGTAAGTAGATGAATAGCAAGCTCCTACAGAAGCATAGTTTATGTTTTTTTTACATATATAAAACGGGCTGAGAATTTATCTGAACCTCATCCTATTTGGATCTGAATTTAAAAATTGGATCCAAATAACTATGCGGATCTGGATTTAAAAATTGGATCCAAATGATTTTTCTGGATAACATTGTGGAGCTGATCGGATTCGAATCTAAATTCAAATCTGTAGCCTATGTATAGTTGTTAGATCTGGATCTGGATCCGGATCCAAACATTCTCGATTCAATAAATGAATAAAATCGAATGGTCGTGAACCAATTTCAAGTTTTGAACCGATAATATGGGTAGGGGCGGGCAATATATATTGGATGTGAAAATTGAAAGTGGACTATTATTAGCTGTTGGGGAAGTATTTTAATAGTAAGAGGGTACTCCATTATTACTCCATTTACTGCCGCAACTCTCGGACACTTCCTCGTTGGTGATTCGCTCCCGTAGCATCACCAGTTGGGATTACAGCCTGGAATTCAAGATTCCAACGCTCCCTCAGTGGGAGCGGTATAAAAAACCGAAAGAGTGCACATCCCAAGTCATTGATTCAACCAATTATTTTAAAAGCGGATCGTTGACTTGGATCGGATATCTCAAAAAACGATCCGAATCGACGATTCGGATTGGGAATCGATTGAATCGATCGGATTAAAGCTTCAAATAAATTTGAAAAAATTATTAAAATTCATTATAAATACTGTTTTTTAAGAATCCAATAAGAAATGAAGGTACTACATTATTAACTTTCATTTATTTCATCAATTTGTGAGTATTGAGATGCTCTTTCCCTGTATAAACTTATGTTAACCATTAAATTTGCATCACATAAAAGAAAAATCATAGAATTATCATAAATAAAATATATAATTATACATGGACTAATTACAAAGAGTAGACTAATCAATGAAAGAATGGCCATTAAAATCTCGTTTGGCGAAAAACCCTTATCCATTAAAAAATCCAAATTATTACAGCCTAACTAATTATAATCCAAAATTATTAAAACCTAACTAATTATAATATTATATACTAAAATTGTAATTATTAGTTTACATTTTATAATTATTTTATTAGACAAATAATAACAAATTTAAAATATTTTATAATATTATCTAATTTAAAATGTATTATTGACAACTGTAAGAAAAATAGTACATTACATGATTTATAATGTAAAAATTAATAAATAAAATAAAATATTTGGTTATCAATATAAAAATTAATAAAATGCATACAAATTTTAGAAATAACACTTCAATTTTTCAAAAATTTATTTTTTTAGGTTTCTATAATAAATTTAGTGAAAGATATTGTTAGTAGAAAGATGGAGATTTCAAATGGAATAAACTTTTTATGTTTTATTTTTTTATGCCTTTCATATTATTTAAAAAAATAATTATACCACTATATACAACAAAAATTAAAAATTAACTTTGTTATTTTTCATTTTTTTATGCTTTTTACATTATTTACAAAAATATTTATACAATATGTACAACAAAAACTATACAACACAAAAAAAATAACACCCCCGGGGGGACTCGACCTTGAGATATCACATGAAGAAACAAATGCCTTAACCACCACGCCACCTCACCATATGTGGTTATAACTTGATGATTAATAGAATATATTTAAATTCCCTTTTTATTTAATGATGTTTAGGAATTATCCCACATCGAAAGATGGGTATTCCACTTGGGTATATAAATACCTATGTAATATAGGTTAAAATGTTTGTGTAGAACTATTAGGGTAACCTCACATGTGTCGCACATGTGCAGGGAGGGAACCGGATTGGAACCAATCGTTCTTCTCTAGAACCGGGCGGTTCCCGGTTTTGTATCGGAACCGGCACGGGCTGTGCCGGTTCCCGAGTCGAATCGGGCGAGTCCGGTTCGACTCGTCAATTTTTAAAACACTGGATTCAACACACCATTCATATATGGGTGTGGTTTCTATAACGTTGCAACCTTAAACAATCCATTAAGGTGCGCCTCCAAATTTTACCATAATTTTATTGTAAATTTTTTTTAGGATTATCTTAAAATCTATTTTCATATCTAATTAGAAAATTTTAAACTTCAAAAATAGTTAAAATCGAGGAGATCTATAAAAAAATGAAAATCTTGAAAATGGGCGGCCTAGATAATGTATTGCAAGATGCACTATTTTTGAGACTCAAAAACTTTTTTTTATATATTCATACATCTCGACGTCGAGATGATCAAATAGATTTTCAACATTAAAACGACCTTTCCGATAGATTTTTGAGGTGCATTTGTAATTCTACATTTTAATGTTGCACCCTTATATAAACTTTTCCCTTCATATATATATATATATATATATATATATATATTTTAGTAGTAGAGAGAGAGAGAGAGAGAGAGAGAGAGAGAGAGAGAGAGAGACGA